CCACCTCTAGTGGACGAGTTTCAACGGCATTGTAGAGTCTGCACCATTCATGATGGAACCAATGTCGGAAGTTCAAACATCTTTTCATGACCCATAACATCAGTGAAAGCTAATTCTGGACAGTTATGGTCTGATGCAGTCAGTATTTACACGATGGGAGCAAGTTAAATCTCGTCCAAAACCCCTTTTAGCCATTCCTGCCTTGGTGATCTCGTACAATCTCCACTTTCCCTACTTTTATTTAATAAACTTGAAGTAGGCGGATTTTCTCGCTTTCTTCGCCACCGTTGTACTCCTCTACATCAACACTTTCGCTTTCCAACTTAAAGCAGGTACCTTAAAATGATCGTGAAGTGTGCCTTCAAAGGAAAAGTCTTTCGCTAAGTAACTATTCCGGGAATCGGAACCAATCCAACCTCTGCTGTCTTGTTCAGTATTCAGATTCGTATTACATCTGAATATTCAGTGAAGCGCTAGATAGAATATGTTATTTCATCGTCCAAGGCAATACCATTCGATTTAATTGGGTAGATTATTGTGGAGAAAAAGACTGCACAAGTCCATTTTGAAGAGCCATTCTCAGGAAAATGGAAAGACTCGTTCGAAACAAAAGGAGTCATAATAACGTCTCCAGCAGGACGAAAATGGGGACTGCTGTAAGACCCAGAATTACATACCGAGATGGCATGAAACGGTTATGAGGTATAGCAGTATCGTCTATCCAAATAAAACGCGGAACGTGTCGGTATCTTTGCGCACCTGGTCTGCACCTACCTACTGTAAAGGATAAAAAGTAAAGCCTCGGGCGTCATTCAATCCTGTCCGAGGGATGCGCCGTGCATTCGACTCCTGTTCAGAGTCGTAGTGGCGTATTGAATGCGGATGTGGCCTATACAATGACTTGGGTGGCCAGCCGATGTACAAGTCAGTGATTTTATCCTCCCAAACGGCTATGGAACCAACTAGCGACCCCGGAGGGATGGAAGGCTCGGTTGGCCTAGGCGATCGTATCGATATCGATCCGAGATTTGAACCCGTGACCATGGCTGTGCGATAGTTCGCCACTAAACCATCTGTCCTTCCAATTTCTGTCAATAATCTCACAACTACAAACAGTCAGAAGTTGCACTGAATCGCGTGCTTGCGGGATCTCAGTAACTCAAGGCTAACGACCAAGTGTCCAGAACGCACAAGTGCAAGTTCGAAAATAAGCCCGGAGATGAACTTTTTGCCCATAAGTAGCCAATATTTTGGGACATTTCATTTCTATTTCATGTGTTATTTTAGGACAATGCCCTTGTGGTTGGAATAGGTGTAGTGGTAATTGGAGCACTATCACACGCGCATTGTCTGGGGTCGACATTCGCCCAGGCGATCAAGTCTTCTAACCTTCTGAGATCGTTTAGCTGATATCCAGTGTCGTCCGGGAGGATAAAAACACCGATTTGTTCATTGGTTGGCCACCGAATGCCTTCCCTAAACTATATGCGCCCTCAAAACGCCACGATTCTGAATAGAAGCCAAGTGTGAGGCCGCATTCCGAAAAAAAATGATCCGCCAAGGTAGTGAAAGGGTTTAAGAAGATAAAGCAAAAAGCGCAAATATAGGAGTGAGGCCTTTTGCGTGAGGCGAGCTTCTGCCCATTAAATTGACCAGCGCCAAAAGCTTTATCTCGCTAGCTCATACCCTGCTCCGAATTCGCTCAAAAATTTGGAACATTCAAGGCCTCCCTGAAAAGCCGCTAGCTGGGTAGGCAAATTTTCTCAACATATTAATCAGATATTAAAAAGAAGAGCAGGTGCTTTCTTTTTTCATACGCGCTACACCTTTTTATTCGGCGATTACCTCAGACGAGTGCTCTACCACGGGCACTCTATTTAATTCAATAAAGTGCATTTTTTACGTGAGCTTCATTCTCTTTTGTGGGAAGGAAGGGCGCTATCGTCCAAAGGGCATGCATGCATGAAAATTGAGTGAGCTAGAGAAAATGATTATGGGATTGCAGGAGTGAAATCGCTAATAAAGGCTTTGCAGGGACTAGTGCAGTGGTCAGGGGTGCTCCACCACAGTTCGAGTTCCGATTATAATAAGATCCCCCTTCTATCATTACATATGTTCAATGCTACTCAGACTCCACTTATTTCGCTTTTGCCAGCTTGCCATGTATTTTGACGAAGGAGGTACCGCGAAAGAAGTATCCTTGAATTCCACCTGTTTCGCTTTTTCCGTCAGCTAATCCGACGAAAGCAATCCAAAGAACAAAAGAAGCGGCCATAGCAACGAGGGGATCTGGGATCCCCTATTTGCAGAATCACCTGCCAAATTGATTCTACTCATGCCGAACATCAAATTTCGTGTAAAAGTCATGGGTTTTCCACACAGCGAAGCCATACCGTAATGCACTGCAAAAGGAATATTAGAAATATGAAGCCCTTACACAAAGACTAAATAAATTGAGAACGAAGTAAGTTCAGAAGGTGGCGGTCATCAAAGCAGTCGGTCAAGGTAACCTGGTGTGGTGCATTAGGAACAAAATGGTCGCGTCGCGGTGAGAGGGGCGTCGCGCGCGAAGGAATGTAGCAGGATGCAGCAGTAGGCAAGAAATACAAGAACAAAAGCACTAATAGTAGAATTATGCATAAAATGATGATCGCCTATCGATTGAGCTGTATGAAGAACGCTAGAGCTGTAATAACGGCGAATGAGTGGTCCGCGACAGCCGCGTGCGGCAAATCGATTACCCAAAATCGTTCCTAACGCCCGTCTCCCAAGGTTACCCGTAGGTTAACGGTCGGATTTTGAGAAAGTATGAGAAAGTAGTTAGTGGCTTGGGCAACCTCTACAATTCGTAAAATTGTTGTCATAACATCAAATAACAACCCTTACGTCTTATCTAAGTGAAAGTGGGCAGTGGCAAATATTATGGATGTACAGTAGCTACACTCAGAGCCCAAATAGGTCTCACATCTCTCTCGCGGCGTTGAATTGTCACCAGACTCGGTCACGATATTCAGCTACAGCTAAGCACTACAGCAACTACCCCTGCTAGTCCCTCTATAGAGACCCGCATGCAGTACTCCTTCATGGTTCTGACAAGGGTAAGATTATAGATTAGTCGAAGTGGCCATTTGAAATCTCATACTGCTGTACGTGCTGTATTTAAGTGCTGATTTTGAATCTGCTCTGCAAGTTTGCCAAACGATTTTCTGAACGAATTCACGGAGGTGGTCCCTCCGATTTCGATCTGGGATCCTTCCCTAATCCCGTTAGAAAAAAAGGAAGTCCTACGCAGAAGTACATCTCAAAACTGGATCGAATAGGGCCAGACACCTTTATATCCATCCTTGTTCTCCTTTCATGGCTAAGCGCCAATGCAAGTATTACCTACGTTGAAATCTTTTTTACATCGGCCTAATGAAGCTGCTGCTACGAAAAAAGCAGGGCTGAAAATATTGCCATTATGCAATGCATTCAACAGTTGATTTGAAAGAAAAGGTTAGAAGCTTTATAGAAGCAATTGAAAATCCTTCTCCTTCAGCTTCCAGTGTATGTGATTGACTTCACTCTCAAGACGTCGCTTTGAAGTTTGACTCATGAGGGCAGAAAGGGACGTTGTCAGACAACTCAATCCCAGTGTACTCTGGTGCTCCGAATCTTATCTATTGCCTCTTGTTGTATATCAGCGAGGAAAGCTCTACTAATATGAGGTGGCATTATCAAGTGGGATGACTCAATGAAGCTAAGACAAAGATCTGTAGTGGCAAATGATGCGCTACATTTAACAAATACATAATCCGGGGATTGGATCCCGGCTCAATACTCGCTTACGCAAACAAAGCCTCCTACATCTTCCGGGTGATTAATTAGTAACGAGCATTCGTCTGGGAGGATAAAAGCACTGACTTCTACATTGGATGACTGTTGCACTCTTTGTGTAGACCTTATACTTGTTCAAAACGTCACTACCATTCTGGTTGGAAGTCGAATACGGGGCGCATCCCAATAATTTTATGACGCCATGTTATTAAATGACTCCAGGCGACTTCATGATTTCAAGAAATGATCCCCTCGCCCTTATACTTTTACACATTAATGTAAATCACATCATATGTATAAATTCGTATGTTATGCTGCTGGCAATAAACATCTGTACGTGCTTAAGCCCTACGTCGTGATTGGGAGTAAATTCTGAGAAATACGGCTTAATAATTGCCCTAATCTGAGCCTTGTAGGAAGCGCTGAAGGCCTCATTACTCAAGGTCCAAAAAACAAATCTTGGGAATACACCCAGCCCTACGTCTACCCATGGAATGACAAGTCTCGCCTCCTTTTGAGGGAGATTTCTCAGGGATTCTGCATTCGAACAAAATTATGAACGATTTGGAAAACTCTCAGCATTAAGTGAACCCAAAGAATCTGAAGCAGTAGTTAAGCTCTTCCGAGAATCTGTCCGGTTTCGAGTTCATGACGTGCTACTCCCTTTAAGCGGATACAATCATGAATCAAAAGTCACTATAGCTCGTACGACGTACTTACTTGCCGTCGCGAGCTGCGCTTTATCCCATTATCCGTCACAAGTCTGAAATGGCTTCCTTACTTCCTTGATCCTTTTTCTCTTCTTGACTTCCTTGATGCGCTCTCTTCACACTTTTTTCCCTTCTTCTCTTCATTCACTTGAGCAGACCCTATAGTGATTGAGAAAGGGTCCCCAGTTAAATCAAACACCCATGTAGGGCATGCTTTGATTGGGAACATAATTCGGCGCGAAGAATATGCAAACATCATTTAAAAGACGAAGAATAAAGTCTTTCCTGATTGAAGAATCCGGTCTGTAAGATGCGCCACCTCATTCCCCTTCCATTGGAAAGCGAGGTGATGTTGGAATGCTGATGTTGCCTATAAAACGACTGGTTGTAACCAGATGCACAAGTCAGTGCTTTCATCCTCTCAGAAGAGTCTGACACCTGAGAGGATGAAAGCACTGACTAATGGATCACGGAGGAATGAAAAGCTCGTCTGACCTGGGCAAGTACCAATCCCGGAATCGATCCTTGAACCATGCATTTGTTAGGTACGGCACTTGTCACGTTTATCAATTCTGACAAAATTCGCCCAGCTTGTCTTCATACGAATAGTTATGAGGGAGCACTGAGCCAATAGACTGACGATATATGCATGAATTAGCAATGAGCAGTTTGAATGAGCTGGCAATTCTCTATGAGCAGCTATCACATCGGATCGCTGGAATGTGTTGGGCTGTTCGGGAAGGTGTTGCGCATTCTTGAAGCCCAATATAAGTTAAAATCCTCAAAAAAGAGGCTAGAAAAATCAAATCCATGAAACGATCATGATTGGGTAAATTTATCGCAATGCCGCTATTTGAAAAGAAGATACGCGTCTAGACATCTCTATTGAATTTCGATATGATTGCTACAAGCTGGGCCTCTTCAACCATTGTCCATCTTCGAGTATGATTTCAGCTCCTCTGTACTTTGCAAACCACTAACGCACGATCCAGTAGATTAGAATTTGCTTGGATAACAAATAACTTTTTCGTAGTTTGAGCTGCTTCCGCACAGAAAACTTATGGGGTATAAGGAAATCATTGGATACCGACATTGCACACGATGGCTCTCAATTTTCTTCCAAATTGAGGGAAACTTACCGAAAAAACCCAATATTTTTGTCGATTGTCCTTGAGAGGGTACAGTAGGTGACAACATTTTATGAAAGCCATAGCTGTCAGCTACAAAACTGTTCCAAATTTTCTTACCTCTTTTGCTGATTACCTACAAAATAAAATAACAAATTGCAATTGATCTTGGATAATTTTGAAAGAAGAAGTCAACTTTGGAGAAAGTCAGGGTTACATCTTATGTAGTCCCGGCGAAAACCATGACTATGCCTTGACCGTAAAAAGTATGTAAGGAACAAATCAGACTGGGTAGTTGAATATGGCCAGGCGATCACTCCATCTACACTTTTTGCAGATGCTCCAGTTGATCCTGTCTATTTGGCGTTGAAGCAAGCAACTGGCAAATACGGCGGAAGACGAGGATCATCCGTCAACAATCTTGACTCTACTACTCCAAGTCCTGGGAATCTTTCACAAGTTTCACTTCAGGTCGGAGCATTCACGTTCTAGTTTTTCATTCTTTAATGCTTTGAATCCCATAGCGGTTGGAAAAATTTGGAAGTATGGGCGAGATCTGCTCATTGAATATTGTCGTGAAGTTCTGAGAAACTATATCAAAGGCTTGCCAAGCTTAAGTTCATATTTATGGATATTCGGAAAGTTTCGGCCCAGAGTTTCACGAAGATTTCCTCCGAGTGCTCCAAATTTTGATAGATATTACTAAGAAGGAAAAAGGCTCGAATGTGCAAAGAGTCTGCAAAGATTCTAAATTTTTCGATCTCTTTATTTCAAGCTTTGTAGCATTGGGAAGAAACGAGCACAGAACGGCTCAGGAAAGGCCTTAAGGCCTAGCACTTGACACAAGTTTCTCTGGGCTTCAGCGTTGGAATTCTAAATTCTCAAGAAACACCTTTCGGTGTAGGCAACAGTTCTGACATTATACAGCGATTCCATAGGAGCTTCTACCACAACAATAGAAAAATCTGGACTCTCACAAACTCCTCGTTATAGGCTTCCGTACGTTTTAGCATAGTCCAAAAGCATGAAGAGGAAAAGGGTCATGAAAATCAGTTTTCTCGCTGGCGAAAAACGAATTTGATTATTGAATATCACTGGGTCAGTAAACATTTTTCTCGTGCGTTTCTCTATCTGGATTCGGTTCTGGATCTTGAAGTACTACTACTGGTACTGATGAGCATCGTTCTTCAGTAGGCATAAATATTTCCAAGTCTGCTTCATCATATATAGCCATCAGTGTCTGCTGTGAGAGTATAAATGATGCCCTTCCTTCGATTTTTCCAACATTGATCAATCCCGTCTTTTCGGTGCTTCCCGCTTCCATTCAGAATAATAATGGTCTACTGGAGGCGTATAAACCTAGCTGATGAGCAAGTCAACGATTTCATCCTCTCGGTCCACTCTGGTATCATTTAGCTTATCTCAGAGGGATGAATTCTCGGGATTTAATCCAATACATATGAAGCGCAGCTTAGCACTATACCACCAGTTAGGCAATAGTTTGGTCTGAACCTATTTAGTTGAGGAGATGCTAGTCATATATATTCCTCAGAAGATTTTGGACATAGGTGAGGTCGCCCAATTTTCTACCGCCAGTGCTCTTAAGGCGTACCAGATCTCCATCGGGAACTCGCCTGATTTCTAGGTTTTCATTTTCAGAGGAAGGTGAGTCTAACCGGAACGGTCCGAGCTCATAAAAAGTAGCCTGTCGCTATAATTGGAACGCCACTGTGATTCTGAATGAACTCAAATGCAGGGTACACCTTGAGCTGAAATGAAAGCAGAGGAGGGTAGAACGACCAGTGTTACCTAACAAAAGAGACTTCACCGTTTTTATGCAGGACCAGAAGGGAGAAGAATTGAAAGGAGAGTTTTCCAATGGATTAGCTACACCCCGAGATACCCTCTCTTAGATGACTGAAGTTTTGATGATGTTGTCGAGACCTGGTCATAAACAAGGAGCCTTTTGTTATAGAAAGATTACTACTGCATTACTCTCTGTATCCATGCGGCCTCGTCCTGCCTCCATTTGCTATAATGCATAGGTTAGCATACGTTGTAATGAAGTCGTCAAATTAGGGTCAAAATTGTTCAAAATAATAGGTTCCCCTTAAGGCGACGGGGCTATTTCGCAAGAAATTCGGTCCATCCTATCGACTCAAAATGGTGGTCTCATTTTAGAGAAAGGTAGCAATTTCTAGAAGCCCTCCTATGAAATATATAAGACCACAAGGGTGTAACTCAGTTTTTCATTCTGCTTCTACTTGCGATCCATCATTTCTGGTTCCCACTGGTCGTAAACATACCTGAAGCAGATGCTGAAACTAGAACTACCGAAATAGCATTGGCGCTGCAATGGGTGCCGAGAAATTCGTGGTGCATTCTTTGATGTCCATCTTCGATATTGGGCCCTTCGAACCTTAATGGGCATAGCTGCTTGAGAAGTTGGAGCACTGGGAATACTCTACACTTTGAAAGGATAAATGAAGTGCAGACTACCATTATGACGTCCACCCACACTTGAAGCTAGCTAGAAGCAGTCCCAGGGGACACCCAAGAAAGAAGACAAAATGAATGGCGATTACTCGCCTTTACTATAACACCCGACTCTGCTACTGGCAT